GGAAATTAGACTTTTATAGGCGTACAACGACGAGCCTGGTAAACAGTCGGGAAAATTTCCATTTTTTAGGGATTCAACAACGGTTGCGAGGAAGTAATCCTGCTCAATATGCGACGCGATTTCCTTGTGCGAAACTGGGATTCGGCAAAGTTGTTCCTCGAAAACGGCCGTGATGTCGACTTCTATCTGCGAAATAACGACATCTTCTTCGGGATCCGATTTCGGCGGAATCAGACGGGAAAGAGCATCGGCTTGACCAAATTTGGTAGTATTACGATATTCAATTGTAAAATCGTAATTGTTTAGTTGTAAACACCACCTTTGCAAGCGATTTGCGGTGTGTTGTGGGATGCCTTTCTTTGACCCGTAAATTGGTAAAAGGGGCTTATGGTCCGTCAAAAGTACGAAACGTCTTCCATAAATGTATCGGTGGAAGCGGCGAATCGCAAAAATGAGGGCTAAGCCTTCTTTTTCGATCTGGCTGTAGTTTTTCTCCGCCACGGTCAATGCTCTGCTAGCATGCGCGATAGCCTTTTCAGTGCCATCCGCGAACCGGTGTGTGATGACTGCCCCAAGTCCCTGCTCGCTGGCATCAGCGGCGACGACAATCGGCAACTTGGCGTCATAATGGCAAAAGTAACAAGTCGGAAATCACGATTTCCTTGAGCGACTGGAACGCTCTTTCACAGTCCTCGTGCCAGATGAACTTGACGTCTTTTCTTTTCAACTCGTCGAGCGGAGCGCGCAATTGCCGCATGCGAGGAATAAAAGACTGGTAAAATGAAACCATGCCCAGAAAACTTTCAACTTCTTTCAGGCAGGTTGGTCGTGGCATTTTTGCTATCGCAGCCGTCCTTTCGCCGTCCGGTTTTCGGCCTTGTGCATCAAGAATGAAGCCAAGATATTTCACCGAGGACTGACCGAAGGAACATTTTTCAAGTTTGACGCGCAATCCGTACTGATGGATTCGCTCAAACAATTGACGGACTCTGTCGTCGTGCTCCTCTTGGTTTCGGCCGGTGATCAACAGATCATCCAAGTAGGCAGCAGTACCGTCGAGGCCTGCGATCAAATTATCCACTATTTTCTGGAAAATACCGGGTGCAGTTTTTACTCCAAATATCAATCGCTGATATTGAAAAAGACCTTTGTGCGTATTGATCGTTAGGTATTCTTGGCTGGAAGCCTCAACCTCGATTTGCAAGTAAGCATCTTTCAGGTCAATCTGCGAGAACACTTGTCCACCGTTGAGCTTTGTGAAAATTTCTTCCGCGGTTGGAAGAGGATGATGGTAGTCTTTCAACGCATCATTCAGCCCGGTGGAGAAATCACCGCACAGTCGCAAGGAGCCGTCTTTCTTCTTGACTGGAACGACCGGTGCTGCCCATTGACTGTAAGTGACCGGTTTTAAAACCGTCAAATCAACAAGTCGCTGGAGTTCTTGTTCAATGGCTGCTTCCATTGAAAATGCAACACGTCGAAATGGAAAGAAAATTGGTTGTGCATCTGCTTTTAGCTGCAATTCGGCTTTTGCAACCGTGCACAAACCAAGGCCATCCTTGAAAACAGCTGGGTATTTCTCGACAAGCTCTTTCTCCAGTTGAGAATGCTTCACTTGTACCTTATTCACACACAATTCTTCGAAACACGAAGCGAATTGAGGCAATTGATTAATCCAATCAAGGCCCATCAGCCGGATGTTGTTCGTCACAAAACATCGGCCGTGCCCTTCAATGCCTTTCACTTCAAATTTCGTGTCAAAGGACCCTTTCACGTCAATTGGACTGCCGTTTGCAGCGCGTAGTTGAATATTCGTCTTTTGTAACTGTGGGCAATTCAGTTTATGCCACACAGCATCATCAATAATCGTTACAGCTGCTCCGGTATCTAATTGCAACGTAAAACCGATTCCTTCGATTGAAAGCTCGACATCTTTCCGAGTAGAGTCGATGGCATTGATGTGGACCACCTGATTCACTTTCGGTTTCCAATCTTTTTTGTGAAAATTCCTTGCTTTAGATGAATTTTCAGCTCCTCGGTTGTTTCCAGAACCTCCGCGACACTCTTTGGCCCAGTGTCCGCGTTTTCCACACTGATGACATGTGTCATTCCGCTTGTCCCTTGGGGTCCGATCATTAGAATCGAAGTTTCTCGGGCTACCATTGCTAGAGGCATGCCCTTGTCCCTTGTTCCACGTCTTTCGCGACCCGTGCTGGATCCGATTCACACTGGCATGCTGTTCGACTACAACATCCAGGTTCAGGCTTGTTTGCAGATCGCATTCTCGCAGAAGATCCTCAAGCTTTACGTCATCCTTCGACTCCAGGATACGTATCAGCTTCTTTCGGATTTCGCGATTGGCCTGATCGGCTAATCCAGCCACAAAAAGTAGGCACTTTTCTTCGTCCTCTTTCATTTCCTTGACGCGACCCTGCTCGTAGAGCTTGTTGACGCGTGTGGCGTATGACCGCATGTCCTCATCAGCTTCTTTCGTCACGCGAAAAGCGAGGAATCGACGGCTGAAAAGAGACATCTTTTCACCGAACAACGATGTCAAATGCTTGACAATGTCGGGATACTTCACATCCGCCAACTCCGTTGGACGCGTGTGGTCTGCCAGCAAATTATACGCTTTGGCATCGAGCATCGAGATAACAAGGTGTTTTTTGTTATCCTCGGTGATGCGCGTTTCCGTGGACACGAGGTTATTGAAACGCTCGAGCCACTTCTCGAACGTATGCCCTTCAGTTGGGTCATACTCGAAACGGCATAAACGAGTGGCTAGGGCGCCCAACTCGATCGCATTCAGAGGCCTAGGCAATTGGCTTGAATCTTCGCCACCTTCTTCCCCTGGATGGGTTCGGGTGCGGATCACGTCGATGAGTTGCGTCATTTGGGCTAGCAACGCCTTCATGTCGGGGTCGGCCATGTTTCAACTTCAGGTGCGGCTCGTATCTGCTCGCCAATGTTGTAGATGTGCTTCTTCGTGAGTTCTTGTGCTGGAGAGTGCCAAGGGAACACCTTGCGCACTTACCGTTTGACACCTGAATAGTTACGAAAGAAGAGAGAACAACTTTTATTACACAACGGTAAAACGACCTAAAAAACAAGCAGCGGGACAAGCCGGGAAAAGTGGGAAGAGAGCAAATCACAGGGGCTCTGTGGCTCGGGGGGAAAGGGTGCACAAGGGGACGGAGGGAGGAGTACTGCGTCGTAGCGCATACAGGGCAAAACGATTCGGATCAGCTTTTGCTTCTTCTCTCAACACTTACGATTCGGCTTGGCTTAGGCTTAGTTAGACTTGGGCTTAGGCTTAGGCTTGGCTTAGGTCTGGGCTTAGGCTTGGCCTTAGGCTTAGGCTTGGCTTGGGCTTAAGCTTAGGCTTAGAATTGGGCGAAGATTGTAGCTGAGCTAAATCAGCTAAAGAAAGGATGGCGTTTCTGACAAAATTATCCCATTCTAGAATCAAGATCCGCGAAAAACACAGATTTCCGCTATTTAGGTACTGCCGCTTACGAGGCGCTCGGCAAAAATCAGAATGCCCAAGGACGGTGGCCCTCAGCCCGGAGCCGCCGGGCTCAGATTTCAGGGTGGCATGGGAGGTCGACTTTGTCCCCCTTCCCTCGTTTACACAGCGCCCTCCTTTTGTATTTTCGACCGTGTGCTGGCCTGCCGCATCGAGAAGCCGACTCCGCCCCATCCCCAAAAAACCGTGCAAAATTCTGGGCACTCGACACCTGAAAGGTCTATTTTTAGGGAAGTTGCGTGTGGATTGGGTCGATTACCACGTGTTCTCCACGTAGGCGTCTGGAAGTGATGCAGGAAAAAGGGAATAAATGTTTATAAAGTTAGAAATAAATTGAACATTACAAGACTATAGGCAATAACAATTAGGGGACATGCCACCCCGCCAAAAACCCAGCAATTTCGAGAGGACCCGTCGAGGTGACGACAAATGGCTGTACAAATTGCGAGTTCAAAAGGGGGCAGTCAAAATGAGCGGCGAAAAGCCCGTTGATCGGCAAGGAATGGCCACTAGACATGGACACCTGACACATGGCCAGTTCTCGACCACCTCCATCAGCCTGCCAACAATCATAGAAGGAAAAGAGTAGAAAACAAAGCTTAGCAACACCGGGAATTCCGAGTTAGCAAGTTGTTGTCGACGTCGACGTCGCGTCCATCCACATCCGGAAAACAAGCTCTGCAAAAAAGCTTGATTTACTTTTGCCGCCCGCGCCCAAAAACCGAGTTGTCTTTTTGGAAGCTGTACATGGTCTGTTCACTAAAAATAGAGCTCAGTGAATTTGGCTAGAAAGTTAACTCAGGAGGAAAACTTGAACCCTGGTCACGAAAAAGTGCCCGAATGAATTTTGGCTACCTTGGTTTCAAACGATGCGCAATTGTTCGTAGATCATTTTGATCTAATTTGTTTTTCGATTTTTCTATGAAAATTTCTATATAAATCTGCATTTATCGCAAAATTGGGAAATTGGCAGCTTCGAGGACAGTTGAGCGTTCAGAGTGTGCCACGTAGTGATTTTCCTAGGCGTCTCGATTTTCCATTATTGTCTCTCATCCGCTGGATGTCTTATGTAGAGAGGCGTTATATCCTTAGGGCCCCTTTATGATGACCCGGAAACGCATATTAATGGTGCAAAGCCAGTTACACCCTTATCAGGCGACCACTCTAGTAAGTATCCCCCTGATGCTTCAACGTTTTGTTCTAAATTTAATTTAGCATCCCCCATTATAATGGTTTTCCAGTCTGTACCGTTTCGCTTGCTCTCCTGGCCCACGATCGTACTACCCAACGAGCGCATACAAAACCCGCTGTCTAGCCCCGGCACGCTCGAATAAGTATTACGCGACCCATCGCGTCCTTTTTACTCTAAAAACCCTTTTCTCTTTTTCAGCTCTTTTTCTCAGCGTTTCAAAATTAATATTTGTTCTCTATCAGCTATGATCAAGCTTTATCTTCCGTTTAGCATCCGCCCGAGATGTCCGTCGGAGGCCTTTCGCGGCAAGCTCTCCAACAAATGTTGTCCACGTCCAAGAATCCTTCCGCCAGACAAAGCACCGATTCCAAAGAAAATGGTAGGCTCTGGAGCACTATCTTTACTTTAACTTTCTTTTTAGCAACGAAGCCGGTGAAATTACCATGTGAGATTCAAGACCTTCGGAAAGTAAACTACACGCTCACCGAAGAGAATATACGTCTAAGAAAAGAAAACCGAGAACTTAGGTTTGTCTTTCAGCGTTAAACCAGTTATGATCGTTGTTTAGGCAACAGCTGGCGAATTTGGCTGAAGCTAGCGCGAAAGAGCGTCAAGAATTGATGATGAGTATTGCTTGGCAGGTAAGATTTTTGGGTTTCTTATCTAATTTTTTTAGACAAAAGTGGAAGACCTTCGTTCAACAGCGGCTCGGATAATCAATTCGTTGGACATTGCAAAGAAGCACATATCTGGAAACCTAATTGGGTTAAGGTAATATTCTCTTCGGTGCTTCCAGGTTGTCGGGGCGGTATTTTTCGCGCGGGGCGGTAGCGAGTCTCTTTGTTAACTTATTCCTATTTGTTCCTAGCGATAAAATATGGTTTATTTGAATAGTGTTTTTAGCAGTTTCCGCTAACTCAAAACTATATAAAGATTGATACTAATGTCATAAAATTGGGTTTTTGGCTCATTTTCGGCCAAAAAAGCAAAAATTTTCCACATTTTAGGATGTTTTATAAATTCCTACCCACTAATAGTCCGGATCCAATTCAACCGCTATCTACCGCCCGCGCTAACATAACCGTCCCCTTATAACCTGGAAGCACCCTCTTTTCGACGCTTGCTATCCTCTGCGTTGCGTTTGGCGCGCCAACCATCTTTATCGTTGTCGTTTCAGTGAGATTGTACCCACAAGCGAACAACTATTGGCCAGTTCATCCAGCTTGCCAACCGGTAACTACATCCGATCCGGCCAAATTTGATCATTTTTCAGTCGATGAATCCCCTGAGCTGCATGCTGGCGTCGTGGCAATGCCAGCGAAGAACGACACCGTTACCCAGAGAGCGACACCCAAAAGTGCTAAAAGAAGAAAGAGTCGTACTGCGAGCGAGTTTGTTGCTCCAGTTCTTTCCCCCAAGGTCAGCTTTGTTTTATTATAGACGGAATGTGTTTTACAGGCAACACCTCGAACTTCCAAAAACCACGATCTGCAAGGCCAAACAGGGCGATTTTTAAACAATATTTCGAGTAAGTCCTTGCTTCTTACCAAAATTTGTTATTGCAATGAGCACTAACACATCTTTTTAGATATAAATGGCGACATGCGAGCCACACCGAAAAAGCAAAAAGCCATGAACGTCACGGGCGGGTTCAACATTAGCTCTCCAACGGACTTTCGGGAATACGAGGTAACTTTTCTAGAATAAACAATAACACTGATTTTAGGCCGGCCATCGTTCGGCTACACCGGCGAACCGAGTTCGGCGAGCGAGCGCCACTCCTAAATGTTACGCACTGCCAAAGCTCAACACCAAAATGCGGCGTCTACCCGGCGAATGAACCATCACGCTGATTTTCTTCAAATTTGATATTTTGTGTCTTATGGATTGCATTCAGTGTCTCGTGCTATGTGGAAATAAACTTTATAACAAATGAGACCAGTTAACGACGTAATAATTAGAAAGACACGAGCCGTTTAGAAAATAAATTAGCGTTGAAGAGGGGCGAGACCGAGCTTGGCACGCTGCGCATTGGCCTCATCGATCTCGCGTTCCAGTGTGTCTTTCTTGCTGCGATCTCCACGATCGCGGTCCTTCTTCGAATCATGCTCCTTCCGATCGCCACGATCTTTTCGGTCATCACGATCCTTGCGGTCATCACGATCTTTCCGATCATCACGCTCCCGACGATCATCACGGTCTCGTCGACTGTCACGCTTCTCTTCGCGACCTCTACGATCGTCACGGTCCTTCCGATCATCGCGGTCACGGCTTTTCGAACGTCGTCGTTCCCGGGACCTGTAATGCAAAAATGATTGTCAAGGAGAAATAACTACCGCTCTCTTTCTTTTCGACGATCGTCCCTGTCGCGGAAACGGTCTCGCGAACTGAAAATATAACGTTATTTTAGCCAGCACTTTAATTCTGCTTACCGGCTACGCTTTCGACTAATAAGGCTGGGCCGTTCTTTCTTCCTTTCCTTGGTATCTTCCTCTGACTCGTCCTCCGAGATCTAAAGAATGGAATCTTCATGAATGCTATTTAAGTCACCTTGTCAAGATCTTCATCGAGAGCAGACTTATATAACTCCAGCAGGCCAGTTTCTTCCAAAGCATCCCTTTTCTAAAGCAAAATTAGTCTTTTTCTGAAATGTCTGACCTGTAACCGCGGCATCTGGATATCCAAAACTCTGTCTTCTCTCAACAACAGATCAACAAATTCGTCCATGTGCATCAATTCGAACCCTAGGTTCACGTCTCAACAAACGAAGATCACATACGTCCCATATTGTTCATCACCCGTAATTTCCGGAAGTCGTTATACAGCGGCTCAAGGTAGTTGTAGATATCTACCGAGGGAAACACCATCCGCAAATAAAGCGCACCCAATGCTCGGATGTATCTAAATATGAGTTGTTGCAGTAAGCCAAGTCCTTACTTAAAATCATCCTGCTTTATAAATTCCATAACGATGTCCCGCTCCGGTTGTAATTGGAGCATCTTCAGGATCAGACACAAGAAGGGCGTCGGCTTGATGTTTCCTGCATAGATTCCGCCAATATAGCGGAGATCCATCCCTTTGTCGACAAGCAACTCAGCTAAATACGTTATAAGACTAAACTAATCGAGACAGAGATACCTGAAAGTGCAAAGCACTGTTCTTTCCAAAATTTGCTGTCATAAATACGCTGCCGAATGATCTTTTCAATCAGGAACTGTGGGTTCGTTCCTTTTACGGTCGAGGCGTCGACCACCGTACGGTTAGCCATCCTAAACGCGCATAGATTCGTGGCACAAAAAGCTAATAAAAATGGCACTTCGGACGTCACGTTAGCTTGATGCTAAATACAACGGCTAGAAACCACACCGGCGTATCAAGTCAGGTTCGTCGAAAACTTCTTTATTTCAACCAATAACGCCCAACAAAAAAACACATTTAAATCGCGGAACAAAATTAGAACAAGTAGCCAATATCGTTATGACCGGATGGAAGAGTAGAGTAGAGGCCGCCAGCAGGTTAGTACGCCTTCCTCTTGACAATCTCGGGGCGCCAGACGATCGGATGAGATTCCTCAGTCTGAAAAAGAAAAATTATGTTGTCTACAGTCTGAAAAAATTATAATATCTGTATTCAGGGCCTTTCGACTAGCCAATTGTAGTAAACTAGCACTACTCCTCCAACCACAGGAGCTAATTGCTTATCCAAGGTTACTCGCCGCACAGCCCTCGTGTGTAAGGATGGATTTTGGCTGTTTTTTTTGTTATGCAGCCAGCCAGCCCGCAGAGCGCGTTCGGGTAATTTGATAAGATCAACTGGAGCAAACGCGCGGAGGGGGGGCAATTTGCCGATTTACATGGACCTGAACATTTCCGGTGGCCTGGGAAACACACGTTCACAGCTTGCCCTAGATTATAGGCAAGGCAGGCTGGTTTGTGCTGGGGGGGGAGGGAGGAGGGGAACTTTAAAAGATTAGCGATAAAAACAAGTCCGGAGCGTCTCTCTCCCCAATAATTTCAGTCCGCCTATCACAACTCGCCCCCAACCGATTCTCCGGCGCGGCCAGACGAGAAATAAGAAGTAAGTGAAACGGGGGTAGCCATCGCGTTCCGCTGACCAGGCGACAGCTGAGATCCACGACTAGACAAACCATTTTCACAAAAAAGGCAATGGCCTTCAGCGCCCAATAAAAATTGGCAAAAGAGATCCACGTAATACTTGGAATTGAGAGAATAGGCTATGATTTTAAAAGCCACGCCAGATTTTACGTAGCCACATGCTACTGGAAATCCTAGGTAATTAGGACGAAAAGCGCAAAAGAAGAGATATAGCTTGATCACAGGGTTTTTACGTTTCTGTCTACGATTTTGGGTGGGCGCGGAGTTTCGAGACGGCGGCAAGCCTATCTCGTGCAGAATTCTTTGCTAATCAAAACATAATTTTCCGAATCTGCTAAACGCAACGATTTTTGAAAAGTTACGAAGCTCTCAAGTGTGCAAATTGCCCAAAAAAACCTAACTTTGGTCGTTTTTCGCTCTTTAACGCGTTCAAACTTTGTTATCGTGCTCGTTTCTCGCAGATCCTAGGTTTTAAACAGCGGAAAATTTTGCACAAAATAAGCCTGGTAATAGTTCGAAACTTCGTGGGCCTAAAAAACGTCGCATTGCGAGCATCCTAACTAGACTGCTATTCCGAAATCCATAAAATCTCTAGTTTCGCCCGCTCGATCCCGATGATCTGTGCTGTTACTCCATATCAACCGTGCGTACGTTAAAAATTGGTTCAAAACCAGGGATCCTCTACAACTCAAGGTCAAGCCCGGGCTCGGGCTCCCAGAAAACCGAATCACTGCAGCGGGTCGCGAAAGGGGTTAATGGAGAACAACATCCGGGACCGGAAGTCGGGCAGTAAAATCCCCCAACGCGGTGGGCAGCAAAATTCTTACCGCCGTATCGTCTTCTTTGTACATCTTAATGGTCTTGTCAGCTTCGGCGGTGATCAAACGCAGTCCGGTTCTGAAAGCCAGGGTTTAATGGTTAGAGGGAAGAACGGTACCGATCGAATGTCATCGAGAATATTCCAGCCTCGGAGTCGATGGAGCCAGGCTGGGCCTTCGCTTGATCGCGTTGGAAGCAGAAACCGGAACGCCAGTCCCAGAAGCACATCGAGCCGTTGTCTCCTAAATGAATAAAAGTGTATAGTGAATTTAATAATAGATTAGAGTAAGAATATTTTATGAAAAACCAACCGGCCGAGACAAGTACACCATCCTCATTGACCGCCATCGTATTGATGATGCAGTTATGACCTGAATTCAATAGTAAAAGCACAGTTGTCGAAAAAAATACCTGATAGGTTCTGCAAAAATTCGCCGTTTCTCGACTTCCATTGCTTGATATTGTCAGGGCTGCCGGAAGCGAACATGTTCAGGGTCGGATGAATGACCACGGAACGAATCGATTTCTGAAAATGAACAATATATTTTTGATACAATGCAATCTCTCAGTCCTGTTTTTTTGATTTTCCGTGCTTTTTCATTTCAGAGCACAGATAGCTAGAAAATAGTGCTTAATTGCTCCGGCCCGGGATTCCGAGATCAATTTTTTTGCGCTATGAACAAAGTACATTTGGCATGCCGTGCTAACGTTTACGTCGTGATTGTATCCGTTCTTCTTCACTTCTCCCAAGTTTTTCACCCGGCCCAATCAGATCAGGCTGCGCGCCGCCGGAAGCCATCCAACCCCAGTCAAACTGTCATGTGCATAGGTACTGGCGCCAGCTTGGGGCCAAGGTCGACTTTTATCGCCAACAAAAAACTCGACTGTCCGGCCGAGATTGATGTTCTCAAACAAACCCCCCGTGAGAGAAGCTAGCTAGTGATAGCGCGTGATTTTCGGAAAACCCGATGAAGGGCTGTTCCAGGATAGGGCAAGAAGATACCTGTGGCTAAATATAAAAATATTAAACAAAACAGAATTACAGTAGCTTTTCCAATGCTTATCTTTCGTATTGCCGTCTTACGGTATCCAATCCTAAATATCCACCTTGCAAATAAGAACTACTCAATTAAATATCCTATAAAGCCAGTCATTCATGTAATACGAGCTCCAAAGAAATCAAACACAAGGCTATTTCTCCTAGCTGTTCAACACCGAGTGGCTGTCCTGAAAAGGTCCAAGTTGTAGGCAGACACTTTCTTGCGAGTAGTTTCCAAAAGGGTTGATCTCGAATCGACCTTGTCCCTCCCCTTCTCCACAGCACAACGACCGTAACTTGTGACCGCAGTTCCGTGTATAAAAGCGGAGCCTCTGCTAAAATGGACATTTCCCCCGGAACTCGCGCAGTGCCGCTTCCACAGGTTAGTCTCTGCCCACTCGCTCGTTGCCATCCACACCCCCCCCCCGTTCTAATTACCCCGGTTGTTGTTGCGGGAACGAATTTTGGCATTCATTACACACAGTGTCACTTCGTTGAGCTCAAAGACTCGCTAGTAGCTAATCAGCTGTAGCGGGTAAGAGGCCGATTATATGGTTTCACGCCACTTGCGGTCCGAAATTTTTTTGAATAGAGAGCTGAAATTTTTACTCTATTGCTAATTTTTCGATTTTAAAAGCTGTTCCCGTGTCGCTTCCTAGTAAGCAAAAAGCGCCTTTTAAAAAGCTATTGAAGTAAGCCTACGACAGTTTTCACAAACGCTTTCGGGCCGCAAGTGTCGGGCAGCCGATTAGGTTCGCGTGACGCGATTCGGGAGCAGATACAGGGGCGCCGCTGCTAATCGCGGGCCTACATGTGCAAAAGATGCAGTTGGAACTGCTGCTCTCGACCGGGATCATGCTCAAGCCTTTTCCGCCCGTGTTAGGTTCGATCCACGCAGACGCAGTGAGGCGCCAGGCAAGCGCCCACCAACGGCCAGACCATATCCGTTCATCCAGAGGACGGGCGGCTTCGGGGGCGAGATTTCGGCGACATCGAACCGATAAAAGAAACACAAACCCCCTTCCGGTCACATCAATCACACCTAGAAAGCCGGGGGACGCGCAGAGTGGCACAAGAAAGGGACGCGGATTGCTGGAAGCCCAACCCCTTGCCCGCCCCGGAGCGCGACCCTTTATCACCAGGGGCGCGGGGGCAGGGTTAGCCATTATCCCCCCAAAGACTCTTACCGTAGCCATACCCAACCCCGGAGCAACCCCCGATTAACTCAATTATTTCAGAACTTGTGGTCCCCGCTGCTGCCATGAACAGTTTTCTACTTTCGATTACAATCGCCACGGCTCTACTGACCGTGGCCGAGGCCAAGAAGATGTTCACCCAAGACCCAGTAGTCCCGATTAAGCACGTCAATAGTGATGTAAGTCGACTTACATACTTACCCCCCTAAACCATCCCCGACATCTCAAACAATTTACATTCGAGTTTTTAGATTCCCTATGACGAGCCGGTATTGCTGCTTGTCTACCGCAGCACATGTCCTCGAAGCCAGAGGACTATTCCGAGATTCCAAAGGGCCGCTAAGATTCTTCAAATGTGGGGAATGAAGACTGCAGCTCTCGAGTATAACGAGACCGGATGGGAATACATGAAGGTGAGCATAAAGGAAATTAGAAAATTAGAAAGAAGCTCCCCATTGTGCTAACCCCCAGAAAGAAAAATCAATCTAAAGCGCTGTTTCAGGCCGTTTTCCCGTTGAAGAAATTCCCGGCTCTTGTCATGTACCCCGGAGATGGCAGCAAGCTACGCTACGATGAGAAGGACCCGCCGCAGGCCCAGGCCGAAGATATCGTTTCGTTCGCCTGGAGCCATCGGATGGCCCGTCGCGCGTAAATAACGCCGCGACGCTACACCACCATCGTCAGCATATTCGACAAAATGCCCGATCTCAGCGCATTGTACACAGCCTGACCAAAACCCAAATTCCCCCGCAAAAAAACACCTAACACCTATCCCCCATATTGAGTGCAAATACTTTTCGAAGTAACGCGTATTGTTGTGATCTAGGGTATCTCCACGATTACGGCTAGGCCCGGGGCTATGAACACTTTCCTAGAGTCCCGAATCTTTGGAAAGACCCTCATGAACCTCGTTGTCCAACTTTGTAGCTACTTGTAAAGTTTCAGGGATTAATAAATTGTGAGATATATTACGCTAGTTACTCTACAACCCGAGAAAAGGGAAAGAAAAACGCATGAAAGCTCACAAAGAACACAGAACCCCATACTTCAATTCTACGGATACTTTGGGGTAATTCTACCAAGTTAATGAGAAAGCTACACTAACACACTACTAATACCCCCAGCTGACGCATTAAACCGCCTACAAATAATATTTTTGCCAAAAAACTAGAAATTCTAAAAGATTCTGGCTGCTAAAAGACACAGCTAATAGGCACAAGAGAGTAAGCAGAGAAGCAGCGACAACTTCTAAGACAGCTAAACTACAAGCCCCCCAAAACACAAATAGCCGTTTCCAAACAGTTTTCATTAAATTCCAAAAATTCATGTTATACCTTATGATGGGTGAGAGTACACATCGTTTTGCCCGCAGCCAAATCCCAAAGACGGACGGTAGAATCGTGTGACCCAGTAATAACCTGAACAAATGTCTTTGCATTACGTGATAGCAGATACCTGTGGGTTTGTAGCTTGGCAAACGACATCGGCAACGGTATTTGTGTGGCCGCTCAGGCAGTGGATTTGGCATTTCGTACGAATATCCCACACCTAGACGAAAAAAAGTCAATACGTTTGTCAAATTCAGGGTTTGGGCATAACGGATTCGGGCTCAAAAAATTACCCTAGCGGTAGAATCGCGAGCCGTGCTAATGAGCACATCAAGTGTCGGGTGGACGGCGAGCGCTTGCACGGCACTCAAATGACCATGGTAATGCCGGACGACCTTGTTGTACTCGAGATCCCAACATTTCACCTAAACAAAATTATATTGTGAATATCGAACAAAAAATACCTGCTTGTCCTCTCCGCCCGAAAACAGGTAGGGGTTCCGATGCGATATTTTGACTGCACGAACCGAACTGATGTGACCAGTCAGCGATAGGCGAAGCTTGCCGCTGGCCAGATCCCAAATCTGAAACAAGATCATGGCTGATAATAATAAAACGACAGACCTTGATGATACGATCTGCGCCTCCGGAAGCAAACCACTGGTTCTCAGGCTCAACGTCGACCGAACGCACCCAGCCGGTATGTCCTGAACAAAATATTTGTTTATATGCTTTCGTAGTTTTCTGATCTGAATACGTTGCAATTCAAAACCAACCCGATATCACGCGATAGAGCTTCCATGGAGCATGCCATTTGGGCTTAATCATCACCGGCGCCTTCGAGGGAAGGAGGGCTCTCGTAGTGTTATCCTCAGCGCGTGGCTGAGACCCGACTGGCAGAGTGGAGATCAATTGTCTAAAGAAAATAATAAACTAAAATGCCTAGTAGTTATTACCCTCCGGATGCTGATTTCTTTGCTTGACCCGCCTCGCCTCCGGTAATAGCCAGCACTTCGCCTTGTCGAACCACATCCGCTGGAAATTGGTTTGTATAAAATTCACTCAATAAAACTGTTATACCTATGATTCCAGAAGCGGTTGGGACCTTCATAATCTCATCCTCCTTCTTGCGCCTCGCCTCATCGACGTGGTTGAGTACATGGCGATATTCGTTCCGTTTCTTGATGCCCTTCATCAATTCATCGCTGAAACCAAAATAATTATAGTTGTATATTGACTATTCATACATTCAATATTCTAGATTAGCGTCAAATAACAGCAAAAACTAATGCTAAAACTTACCCTTTCTCGTTGACTTCCGGATAAGCCTGGTAGTCAGCTGCAAAGAAATCCCTGGATCGCTTCATGGAACGAAAAACAAGGTTCAGCTTCTTCATGTAGCTTTCGCTATGAATAGTCGAAGCCCGCCGAGGTTCCTCCTGTAAAGACAAGCATCAATGAAGTTTTTAAAATTTAATTTTTTTTTAAAAAAATTTTTTTTTTTTTTAAAAAAAAAAATAAAAAAAAAAAATAAATTAAAAAAAATAAAAAAATATAAAAAAAAAAAAAAAAAAAAAAAAAAAAAAAAAAAAAAAAAAAAAAAAAAAAAAAAAAAAAAAATTTAAAAAAATTTCTTTCCGAATAAAACCAGGTTTATTAAATGAAATACCGGTTTCTTTTGCTGCTCATCGGTAGGGGTTACGGGCGGGGGAGCGGCCTCGGTAGACATGACCCAACCTGCAAAACACTTTTATATATATTACCAAATAAAATATAAAGTATAGAAATAAAAATTCGATAAGAAAAACATTAACTAAAAGAGAAGATAGCTGGATTTCGAAGTAGAACCGAACCCGAGCCGTGCGCATAGGCGTCTTTCGTACACCCGACAAACTACAAGTCCCGGCCTCAATTTCAAACAGCTGATAGAAAATCAGGCTAAAAGGCTTGTTTTTGGGCATTTTGGCTCCTAAGTCCCTTCGAAAACTGTAGTATAGAAATAAAAATAGAAATTTTGAGCCATTCCGGTTCTCCGAAGTAGTGTTTTTGGAAAAGTACGCTCAAAAACGATTCAGAAATATCGATGAAAATCGACACTATTCCCCTATTTTGAAAATGTTTCTGTGTGTTAGAAAAATTTCCTGTGTGGGGAATATTGCGACGAATGCGGCTTTTTTTGAAAATAGGCAGCAACTTGCGCTTGGGCTTAGAATAATTCGCGCCATGAAAAGTCCGAAAACATTTAAAAACACCCATACCAAGCATCGACAAGAGCTAGATTTCCTTCAGAAAATTCCATGCCGAATATGCTACTAACCAATTTCACTGATTTTTGCCTGAACAAAACCCGGTTACCCAATACCCCTTTGAGCATTCTGTAAGCCTTGGCCCGCCACTTTCGAAGCTCATACCACCTATGAAGGCTGCAATTTTCACCTCAATAGCGTTATTAAGATCTTTTATGATGAATTGCTATTCGAATTCACCTTGCAATCAGTTACCAGTGTCTTTTATACAAAAAAAGTGCATTTCAGCCAATGGATCCAGTCGAGTTGGATTATGAAGAGGACCGTGATGCTTCAGACAATCGGGAGGACTCGGTATACAATATTCAATTCAGTTCAACTTAAACTCTTGAAGATAGAGCATCGGGAAAATTTTTGTATTAATTGTTCGTGGGATTCTCTCGTTACCAAGTTTGCTTATAGTCAGCGTAATTTGTGAGTCGTCAAGGTTTTTCCGGGAAAATCTAGTGATATTTGGGGCAGACTTTAGTGATGATAGAATCAATAAGCTGTTATCGTTTTGGGTAGGTTGACATTGCCTAAAGTCTTTGTTCCAATCGAAACTAATATAGAGAGCTATAGCCGGTATTTAAATTGTTTTGGCTTAAAATTGGCTCCTAGGGTTTTTATGTCAGTTCTATTATTGGAATTTTATACCCCAGGCGTAACTTAGGCTGTAGAATGCTTTACCAAGACCGCCCGGAGACAAAGCCTGTCGTAGTTTCAAGGGGTAGCGTTCATGGCAGCGGTATCGCCCCCCTTTTTTTTCCTTCGCCTCATTCGGCAGCTTCACGTATGGTATTTTTTCTCTCTACTTTCCGCACAATATCACATGACGAGTAGATGACGTAGACGTCGTACGGGTTGGTTACGGTACGGGTCGTACGTTTTTGGGCTGACACGGATTTTCGAGACGGGATCAAGCCTAGCTTGAGCGGCATTTTCTAGCTTAATTTGCTGAAGAATTCGATGTCTCGTTGTTCGTTCGATTGTAGGGGAGTATAATTTTTCGGGGGAATGAGTTTGGGGTTAGTGACTTTTCAGGATTCCTACTTGTTGGGGGTAGTGACTTTCTGGGTTTGACCGTACCCCTGCTGCTAATACAAACGTTGAACGACCTTCCAAAATTTCTATGTTAGTTTACTCGGGATCCCCACACCCAACCATGGCATGGGCACATTCCCCAGCGGAACGCCCCGGTTGGACATAATTATGGGCGGCGGTGTGGCTGAAGAGGGGGGGCGGAGGGGGGCCCTCGGCGGCGCAACCACGAAGAAGACCCATGCGCAATCGATGTTGGACAGGAGCCCTGGGTGGGCCCTCGGTCGATGTAGCCGCACAGCCTCGCTTGGCTGTCAGCTTCTCCATCCTCTACCTCCTCCCTCCCTCACACCACCACCACCAACCACTCCCCTTTCATGACCACATCTTCCTGAATGGGAAAGGAGGGGGATCGCTGCCGAGGGTATTCGTGTTTGGGCAGCTTGTGCGTGTGTCTCTTTTCCCATAGCCCCGTAGCTGACTCTTTTCCTCCCCCCCCCCCTCACCCACATGCATGGATCGCGGCCTTGCTCATAATGCGCCCTCCAGCCCCGCCCACTGCCTTTTTGCGGCCAGGCCCGTCCACTCGGGCCTCCTCCCCTCCCCAGCTCTCCTCTTCCCCCCATTCGACGTGCCTTATTCCGAGGAGGCCCAACCATCGTGCTTCACCCTACTGCGCGTCTAAAGCGGATATTCAGCCACGAACGAAGCTTTTCCTAACTGTGACTCTTCTTTGCGGATTTTTATATTATTTGGAGTGGGGTTGTAGGGTTGTGAGCGCTCGCCGCCTGAACTTCGACTCAACCTCTTGACAGGTGTAGGTGAGCAAAGTTTCAGGTGTGCGAGCGGCACATCATTTTATTGTCTTGATTTGGCTTGTTTCCACGGTTTCTCGCCAGCGGTGCTTTAGGACTACCGTAATTTTTCCCATTTTTTTTTAATCGAGGGATTTATGTCTGGTCTTCTAGGTAGTATAAATAGCTAAGGATTCCTGACTTATAGAACTAGCTTATTGGCACTAAGTAAGTAGTAACAGTAAGCCAAAATAATTGTTCTGCTATTGTTATGGTAGCCAGGCTTCGCCCAAGCGTACCCTAATTGCTAGATTGGGGGCATCCGACGGCCGGTTGCCACCTGCCGCATAATTTGACGAGAGGGGGGCGGCTTTTTATGACAACACCCATATGATGGATATCCATATCTTTATTGTCTTTTAAGAAAACTCTGCTTTCAGGATCTCTCTGGCAACGAATCCGGTTCCGGATTGAGAGACAGGGAAGATGATGAGGATCGCGACGGCAAGAACTTCGGCGAAGTGTCCAGAAAATTCACCAAGAAGCGGGTTCAACGAAATGCTGAGGTAATAACCTAAAAAATTTATCTGTCGACCCGGTGACAGTATTTAAAAAAAATGGCTGGTTACGGTATGCCACCGGAAGGTTGGAAACTATGTTCGTGTTAAAATTGTGGCTAGCATGATTGCTGTTTTCGAACTGACTTCAAACGCAACTTATCTGCTTGTGCTTGTGCGAGCATCACACAATAACAGACGCTTAAAAACATCATTTCCTACGTATTTAAAGCGAAAATACGATTTTTAAGAACATATTTTCTGCTGGGTTGCCGGCCCCTTTAAAGAGCAGATTCTGACACGAGCTACACAGGCGCCTTTTTACGCAAGTGAATCTCTCTTTGCCGTATCTCTGCGTAATTAGGCCCCCCCGTATCCCGTGTTTGAATGCCGCTTTGAAAGGTTACCGTAAGACTTGTCCGATGTGAAAAAATTCTAGGCTATAATTTGGGTACCTTAACTGAGCAGATTTGAGAGGTTCAGTCTCTCAAATAAAGGCTGTGCATGCAAATACACCTGGTTTGCACGTCGCATTTTTTCATCACATTTCGATAAATCCCAAAATTGAAACGAGAGAAACCAGCGAGTCGAGCTGATCCACGGATTCCATAGCGGGTCGCCAATTGGTGTCTAGCGTGGCGATCAAAATCGATCGGATCGGGCGACCCGAAATGTTTGTTGCGTTGCAGATGTTGCCGCGTAGCCAGATTGGAATAGTCGCACAGGGCTAGGGTGGCGGATCGGTTTTTAAAGGGGTTGGGTATGGAGAAATCTTCTACAGTTCGTCAGATTTTTCCTGCGCGCTGGTAGCTAAAATGGGATATTTAAATGAACCAGGAAGGCTAGCATAAAATGGCGTTAGGTTTCGAAACTGGCATAAATCGGATCCGCTGTCTCCTGCGTTTTTTTTCCATAACGTTTCGGCCGATTTTTTTCCGGAAGATAAGCTAGACCACATGGGTCCTCGTTATCCCTTTAATGTTGTTCGCGGTTAATGGAAAAACGGAGCTGCTGTAGATGCCTCTTTAACGGAACATGGAAAGCGTATTAAAATACAGGAGATTCGACCTCTAGCTCGTACAGTAACCCCAAATTTAGATCACGGACGATGAAGTCACGGAATTCTACGACAGTCTCGGCTATGATCCTGTGAAGCAATCAGCCCTTGTCGTATACATCCACGGTTCTGGCCTCGCCTCCGAGCACGAGTGTATGAGGTATTTTTTGTAAATCTAGCTCTAGCCGCTGACTTCTAGAATTTTCTCTGAATATCACCCCGATGACGCCGTCAAAGAGCCGGATGGACATTTCCACATGTTTGTCCATTTCCGTGATAGGACGGGACTTGTCCAGGTTGACTTGAATAACACATCCTTATTTTGTTATAGATGCTAAAAGGAATGACAAAGAAACTGCGCAGAATGCGCGGTAAAAAGGAGATTGAAGATGAGGAGAGGTAATCTTTTGTGTTTTAGTAGGTGAACCGGTTTTAGGTCTTGGATTCGTCCGAAATGGAGGAAGAGGAGGGTGTGCTGAAGGAGGTCGATGGGGAAGACGTGGAGATCGTTGACAAAGAAGTGGCCGGTGAGGGAATTTTTATTATTTCGGGGGTTTCACCACGCTTCCATTCGTATCCACGGGGGCCTCCAGTTTCGAAGGGAGCTCTTTGCTCTTTCGGGAGGGTGGGATGAAGCCGAATCTTTCGGGCGGCTAGCGGGCTTCCATGATGGATAAAGAGGGTTTGGGAAATGAGTATCAGGTTGCGCATTGTTCCTTCAAGCAGGGGCGTTTGGTTCCCAACAGAAACTGCTCGGAGCGAGGTTGGCTAAATATTTTGGATTCTGAGTGTGGAAATTTCGTAGAGGAGTATGGGATGGAGTAGTAGCAAAAAATGCCGAACCATACTTGTCGCAACAGCTAACGATATGGATGTTCTTCTTCAGAAAAGAACGATATCGGAAAAACGCAAGATAGGGAAAGCGAAAGAAAATTTTGCGCTATCTATATTTTTTCTATATTTTTCTAACCAGATTTCGAAGCTGTTTTTAGACTTGTTTTTCGAGCTTCTTCGAGCTTTTTCGACAAGGACTTCATTGAAATCCCTTGTCGGGAAATATTTAAGACATAAATCTTCTAGATGTAAAATTTCATGTAGATTCCGAATTTAATACTCACGCAGCCGGAATATTTGATTTTTAGGGTGGAAATTGCGATTGATTCTTTTTCCGCAAAAAGGACCGTTGAAGCCAACCTGTCTGATATCCGGAAATGGCGTACCCCAATAAAATTCGGGATGCCACCTTTTCCGGCTAATTTGTCGTCGGAGATCGCGAATATCACAACGGCACACACCGAAACGACAGAAAAAAACTTGTTGTTTTGTGTTTCGCCTGCTTTTATGGCATAAAGTTAATCGAAACGCAATTTTCACGCTACAAATCAGATGTTCAGGCTTCGTGAGTAAATTCGGAATTTATATGCCATTTTACATATAGTAATGAATTCACTAAATATTTCCTAACCGGGGCATTTTAGGAGATCGGTCTAAAATTTTGAAAGGCATGGGGTGATTTATTTTTTTGGTTCCTGTATGAGGCGCTTTTCATCAACGGCATTCAATGTAATGAACAGCTTTGCCATCTAACCGTCTAAGGATTCTGCCAAAATCTTATTTGTACAGCCGGTTTGGCCGACCGGGGGACGAACGAGACCCACATGGTTAGGTTCCGGCAACGAGCCAGATGCATCATAATACCCCGGTGGGGGCGGATTGAAGGCTTCCCCCCTTCTATATGATATTTTGTGGCGAGAGAGAGATGTTTGCAACGGTGAGCCCTAGTGGCCGGCGGGCGCCGCGTTGTTTCGGCTGTTTATTTAGGGAGTTGTGTGTGACCTGTGAAGAGGGTCATCTCGCCCCATACACACAACCAACCACCCCCTTCACCCCCCAACACCCGAATCCACCTCACACCTCACGGCACCCGGCCCGATCGACCAGCCGACCTCCAATTTTGGCTAGGATGGGATGAAGGGAGGGTTGTTATTGGGATAGTAGTGGGTTTGACTGGTGGCTAACAAAGATTTGGTACTGTATTACCGAGTTTTAGGTCCGGAATTCTGAAATTGCGAATTCCAAAGCCCCACACCCAGATGACCGTATGCAAAGTATCTTACCAATAGAACACTCCATTTTACCTTAATAGAAAAAGTTAAGGAAACTCTAAAATTTTACTCCGGATTATCAACGTTTGAAATTTTTGAATTCGGGATTTTGGAGCGGGTATCTGAATTAGGTTTAATGGAATTAGCTTTGTGAAATGAGACTGTAAAAGGTGTGTTTTTTAGGGCTAATTGTCGCGATGTGGCTCAGAAACCATAATGTCGAAATTAACAAACCGAAACTCAGAATCTCGAAATTCATAATGCCGAAATTTCATGGAGTCGAAGTTCAGAATGCCGGAATGTAGATAAGCAACTCTCCCGGAGAAAATCCTAAATCCTATGCAAAAAGTTTCGACATGTTGAAATTTCGGCATTGTTAAGTTGCGAAAATATACCATGTCGGCATTTTGAAATTTCGGCATTATGAACTTACGACATTACGAAATTTCGACACTATGTTTTTCGGCATTATGATGGCGAATCCTGACCATTAACGTACTAGCAACACTTTCTTCTAGCCTAGAGCATGCTTATGTTTCGCAACGCCACTACAGACCATCCCGAAAATCGGGAGTCCGCACCGCGCGCCCTATCCCCCCAACGTCGCCCGAGTCCAGTGAGCCGCATTGTTCGAAGCGGAATGGAGCCGCTTTGTGCCGACTCAATTTTTGCTTTAGGCTCATGTTACGCGTCCCCGGGCTTGCGGGCCAGGTGCGGGTGGTGTGTATGGACCGGGCCCCGGAGCGCATCCGGCTATGGCCTTCATTCAATGCGTGTTGTTTATTTGCCTCCCAAACAGCGAGAGGAGACCCTTCCTCCCAGCCAGCCACGGCTAGCTCGCGTTCGCCATCCTAGGGCAGCTACAAAAATTCGAAGCTGGCGGATGGAGAGTGAAACTGAAAAAAATATCAGAAACCTACAGTAACGGACAAAAGTAAATCACCATGGGTTTTTCGACCATCTAGGCCGATTTCCAAGATATCCCCTGTCGAGATATGTTTCGTTAAGTACTTCCTAGACGTAAAATTGCATTTAGATTCCGAATTTGCCACTAATATGGCCTGAAAATTTGATTTTTAGGGTGAAAATTGCTATTAAATTTTTGCCTCGAAAACCCGCTTTTACAAGCCCGTTGAAATCGAAATCGGCCTAGAAGGGCGGAAAACACAAAGTTATTTACCTTTACCCATTACTGTATGCGGATGCTAGAAAGGGATGTAATAAAATTCAAGGGGTAGGAAGGGTTTGGGCTGGAGCGGATCTTAATAAAATCCAATGGAGCAAAAATGAACTAGGCCCGTTGTCGAGAATTGAACCCTTTTTCGAATGAACTAGACGGAAAACATTCGTTGAAGTGAGAGGAATACTTAATTTTCAGGCTACAAGGCAAAGATGCATTTTGATGACTACGTCAAAGTCGACATCGACCAGCACGTGATTCCAGACGGTATAATTAGATTGGTAGAATTTCACAAAGTTTTAGGCCCTTGGCGAGTTTTGGTGAAGCATGTCTCTGATCGGTTCTTGGTGTTGCTGAGATTCGCCAAATATGAAGAAATCGCGAATGCGAAGACAGAAACCTTGGACATTCAGTCAAAGAGGATGACCCGGAAGCGAATCGCTTCTACTGATGCAGGTAAGGGCTTATGTATAATTTTGGATATTAGCAAGTAATTACGAGCACAACTCTTCCTATCTTACCGTACCATTTAGATGATCAGGATTTCGCACCTCGTGCTCCTCCACCTGGCCAAAACGTTTTTGCCCCCGATGGCAAGGAATTGACCTGGCGATTCGAGCATGACTTGCGGTATTATAATTATTGTATTGTTTAAATATATTTTTCGTTTAGGGCTTATGAGAAAGCGGATGGTACCATCGAAAAAGAAGAAGACAAGTCCTTGAAGGAGTGGGGCAAGGATGATCAGCCATCCACAGCAAAGGTCTTAATATTTTTCGAGTAGAAATAAATGCTGTTTAGAAAGTGCGCGGACGGGGAGCTTTTCGAGCTCATCTCATCGGTACGGGTGCCGATACTATGCGTGCCGATACGGAAGCAAAGTGAGTGTTGATTTATGGGTACTGGACTGTTAGCAGGGGGAAATAGTTTTTTACCGGTTAATAACAGATATTCTTTTTTTATAAGGGGGCTTAGTAGTTGATTGTTAAAATTCACAAAAAAGTTTTGAACTTTTTTTGAAATCCAAATATTGTCACGTTTTTCGGTTTTGTCATACATTTTTGCCCAAAAAGTCAGATAATTCGAAATTTTTTTATGAGCGTTTTACTTCTAAAAACTTTTTAAAATACTATAAAAATGGTTTCTATTTTGTTATAAGGCTGTACAGAATTATTACTGGGAAAAATTAATTCCCCATGCCAAAAATCCCCCCCCCCCCTGCTAACAGTCCAGTACGGATTTGTTCTCTATTTAAAAATGGGGCTGTCATAATACAAATCTAGGGAGCACGACGGCAAAAAGGATCTTGAGGACGACGAGGATGACTTCCAGACCGCCGAGAAAGCCATTCCCAAGCCAAAAGTCCTGCCAAGTATTTACCACCGTTGTACATTCCTAGATTGACTCGTCAATCTAGACATGTTTGGTTTTACAATTCGTTTTGTTGTTTCTTTACATTTCTTGGTGGAATAAAAAGTTATTGATGAAAAGGTGTGGCAACTAGTTGTTAGATCGGAGCCTTGTGTCGACACTGCCTAATTACGCCCATTTGTTGCCGGGGTAACCCCCCATAAGTCGCGGATTTTGCAGGTGTGCTGTCTGGGGAGAAGGGGTATATCCGCGACCTGTTAGTCAAATTTTCGCACGCGAAGATGGCCGAACCGGATGGGAACTTCGTTGAGATGTGTCGAATATGTCATAGACAACCCGGAAGACGACGTTATGGAGCATGGGCATGCGAGTTAGTTAATTAATTTAGATATCCCAAAATTTTACATTTGCAAGTTTCTTTAGTAAGCATGAGCTTTTGCACTTTGTATGAGAATGCAAATAGCTTAATTGTTGAAATTTCAATTTTCAGTGTTTTATCTCAAACCTTTCTGAGCGCATTTGCATGTAAACATTTCAGCAGCTGCAAAATATTCTTTCTACGAAGTGCGACACGCAAGACACCCCATGTCTGCGCGAGGGAAGGGCGATGTCAATTTCGTAAGCATTAACATGATCTAGTTCTCGAAAAATATGTATATCATAGAAAATAAAAATACTATTAAGAATAAATATATGCTACAAAAATTTAGCCGAAGAAAAGTGCCCGGGGTGTCGGTTCAATAGATGTGTTCAAGAAGGGATGGTGCCGGAAAGTAAGTAATGCTTATTTTTTGGATATTTTGATTTGAAGGACTAGCTCTAGCCTATTTTTATTGCACCGAATTTAATTATATGACCAAACTGATTTAACGCTCCCGAATTTAAATTAACAAAAACATTTTTAGTAATTTTTCGGTTATAAAAATGACTTAGCCTCCATTTTTAGCTATTCTATGCTAAAATATCATCCTAAAAATTCAGGTGTGGCCCGACGAGACGGTTGTCAACGACGCCTGGTTGATGCTAACGGGAAAAAACTAATTCCGGGAGCTGGTGGCACTTCATGTGATCTCAAACCCGGTGAACCATCAACATCCACGGAGGCTGACCGAGCGGTAGTTCCATATCTGGAGAGAGTGAGTTGACGTCAAAAGAGAAGGGTAAAAAATTGTCTAGGTGCGACCTCCATCAGAAAATATAAATCTGCACACGTATCAACAAAGCTTAGAAGAGTTTCTAGCTGATTTGTATACGAGGGAAAGGTAACTCCGGCTAAAATTTGGGCTTGTAAAAGGAAGAGTAGGTTTTGCAACAGTGAAGCTGGTACGTTTATGAGAGTCGACGGCGACTTTCCTTTTACACTTCAACACAATTTTCATGAGGTGTTTCTCCAACCAACTCTACTTTGTGATAGGGGCCCGGTAAGGACAATAAAAATTCTGATAAAATTTATACTCATTTCTCAGATCGACATGACCTTCAACGCGAATAAAGTGCGTTATTCGAGCAACCAAGTGGCCCAATGTTTTGCGAGGATCTCGTTGCATATCATCGATTTTTGTCGTAATTTGCCAGAGATATGGTTGTTGTCGCCTGGCGATCGTGTAGGTTTTTTATGATTTTAAAATTAGCACGAAGTTCGCGCGGCAAAAGTGAGCATAAAAATAAAAGCGGCAAAAAACTCCTGCTCCTTTTCCAGCTTCTCCTCATCGCACGACATCAACTCTTCATTTACCCATTCATGCTATTTTTTGCAACCTATGTGGAAAAATATGATGGTATTATTCTTGGACTTGGGGCTGTATTCCACGAGCGGCGTGAGGATATGAATATGTAGGTTAAAAAATTGAGAAGTACAAAACACGGTTTTTCAGGATCAACGATTTCCTCCCTCATGTCGCTGTACTGCTACACCGCTATATAATCCCCTTATTCAAAGAAGTCGATTTGTCACTAGATGAGTATTTGATTTTTAAAACGTTAATGGTTTTTCATTCGGGTAATATGATTTTTAATCTTCTAAAATCCACTCTTTTCAGCAATCGGACTGACGGAGCAAGGCTCAGAAATTGTTCGCAAGGCAAGGGCAAAATACGAAGGATATTTTATGCAGGTTAGAAAAGTTAGAAAAATATTTGAGATATAGAAAATCATAAAAGTCGTTTTAGCATATAATTCGAACAACATCGGATGCGAAAAAGGCGCAACAAAAAGTGGAAAAGCTCATGGAATTTATGCAAGTGATAGTGGTGAGTTATAAAAATAATTATAGAGCCTTTTCTTAAGGATTTGGCCGCGAAACAGGGAAACTATTTTGCTCAATGCGTGGCGCTGAATAAAGCGCATATGAAGGGACGATTTTCGGGCGATCTGTATCTTACTTGTTAGCTGATATTATTACAGGGATTGAGATTTTTCTGTAATCAATCGATTCCTCCCCCGGCCCCCCCCGTTATCCTGCGTGGTGCCCATTGTTTTGAAACGTGGTTTTTATGATATAAAACTTTGATACATCGTTTTTTCATGCTGAAAATATTTTCCCAGTTTATTTTTTGATGTTCCATCTATTAACATTTTGAAAATCCCAAAAATTCCACAAATCGGGTCCTCCTCCCGTTAACCAATATGCTCAACTCAATTTTTCACCATTTTTCTTTATTCGATAGAACTTCTACATTCCATTTTTTGGGCTGAAATCCATTTTGCCAGTATCTTTTTTTCGACGCTCTATCAAATAACACTCGCAAAATCGTGCAGTTATTGAACATAGAAGAAACAATGAGTGCTCCCATTATTTTGTTCCGTGCCTCGCATAATACTTATTTATATCGGTTAACCGGTTAACCATTTTCACGTTTTTTTCTGTTATCCGAAATACCTACGCGTAAAAATAAAGTGATTCGATCTGAATTTATTTTCCGATTTACATTAATGCGGCAGATATTTTTAGGGGGCATTCTATTATACTAAAAGACACCCATCAGGCCCCCCAGAAGAGAAGGGAGACATTTCTCATTTTCGGCATGCAATTGTTATTCGCGGGGGTCCCGCCTTGTCCGATGGGTTCCAATTTGTGTGTATATGGTGGTGGTGGGGGGTAGAGGAGAAAAGATGTTTCAGGGTAGTGGGCAGTCTTCAGAATGTCACTATCTCCAGTCATAACCCCCCATCCACAAACCAATCATCATTCCCATCCCCAACCTCGCCGCCCCTTTTTTCTATGTCCTTTGATCATCCTACTACAGTAATCTCTACACGATTTAGTCATTTAACGTAAACTTTAGGTTTATTTTTGAGGTCTCTGGATAGCTTTTCGACAGTCAATACAGGGTGGCCCAAAAAGAACATTTATGCGAATATGGCTTGACTTCCTAGGCTGTTTCCCATGCAAGTGTTTTTAACAAAAACCCGATTTTACAAATTTTTTTGCATCTTTGCTGGCAACCCAGGTTCGGCTTTTTGAAAGGCATTCAAGAAAACACGGCTTGGATGGGAATGAAGCCGATTAAATTGAGTTTTTGCAAAAATGCATAATTTATGCCCAAAAACGATGAAAATCGGATCAAAATCCGGGAATTTCAAAAATCGGAGGGCGTACGTCGTCTCAGCTCGTCGAGAGCTTTCGATCGATACCTAAATCGTAAAAATTCTACGCTACTCCGAGCCGCTAGAGAGGTTTTTTGAGACCGCCTGTATTAAAGGTGCAGAAAACAGGCTTAAGGGGTGGGGACAGGCCCGCAGGGGGTATCATCCCCACCCACGCCCCGGTCCCTGTGGCCCCATTGGCGCAGTCGGTTAGCGCGTGGTACTTATAGTCTGTAAGATATGCCAAGGTCGCCAGTTCGAGCCTGGCATGGGGCAAACGTTTTGCTTTTTGCGTGAAAAGATCAAATTTATGTTTTTGTTGTACTGATCGCTCTCAAATCACTCAGTATTACTTTTAAAAGTCCTGGCGTCGATTTGCCAATAAATTTTGCCAAGTAATGACTTTGAGAAGTAATGGTTATAGGAGTAACGGCCCTAGAAGTTGTCATTTTTATAACTGATAACCGCGGACCGGTAGAAGGGGGTCTTCTTTTGATGCACCCTGTTTACTTATGAGTCTCACATTTTAAGTTTTGAAAATCAATATTCGTCAAACCAACTTTATGAATACCTGCTAATTTTCACCCTTATTTCGACCTAACCAATACGCCTCTTTTCACCATTTTGAAATTCTGGTCGTATAAAAAACGACGCAAATGCCCCGTTTTGTCGTTAATTTTTGCGAAAATCCTTCTGATTTTTGGTGGGCTACAGAGCATCACGAGTGTCTCATGTGTCTCATTAGAATGTATTTGAACATAGAAGATCTTTAATTTTGCTCTACATTTGTCTGGAAATAAGAATGCTATCAGATTGGCCTTTCCCAGGCGCTATGTGGGAAAAGATGGGCAACTTTCAGGATGAGTCGTCGATCCATTTATACGTTTTCCTGTTGGATTGAATTGTTGCTTTTTCGGTTGTAACTACTTCCACAATTAGGAATTCGGATTTGTTTTAGTTTTTCACAATATGGCTTCTAAGTGAGCAGAGTCCCGCAGGAATCACTGGATGGGATGAGTTCACGAACATATTTTGATCCTTTTCCGACTGGTGGATTTTAAATTGGAGTTTATACTAATTAATGGACTGGATTGGTTTTTATATAAATTTATATGTTTTTGGTATATTTAGAACGCGCCATATTATTAATATTATTTTACAGCTTATTTCTGGCAGGTTAAAAATAATTTTTGTTTTTTTTTCCGCATACCTGTTAATAATTTTATAAATATTTAGTAATTTTTGAGTGACAATTTGGTCATTTTCATAGATTTTTGTGCAAAATACGGAAGTTTTCGAGGTTTTAAATAGTTTTTATGACTTTTCCTATCTATAAACTGCATAAAATGCCATAAAAATGGTTCCTATTATATTATAGGACCGCACAGGATTACTGGAGAAAAGTTTAGACCCAGCAAACCCCCCTGCTAACAGTCCAATACCAAAGTTTGTATTTTTATTATATTTGAGGAAATATAGGGCTTACCTCTAGCGACAAAGATCTTACATAGTTCCTTAAGGCAAAGACCACTTTCAACCTTCTGGCGTCCAATATATTTTCTTGTCCGACCCATCCCCGAGAGATGATTTGTGGTTGACGATCCGGCGGACGACAAAAAGTCTGGGGCAAAAAAATTTCGGCCAAGCTTTGGGGCGGTTGACAGGTGACGGAGGGTCGTTGAATGGACCACCACCACCAGTCTGTCCATTTTTGACCTTTTTACGGGAATGGGGCACGGCTTTTTAAGCTCGACATACTTGACCCTACTATTGTAAGAAGCGGGGGGTTACTTTATTTTTTACACATTGTCGTTATCTTCACCATGATTTATTTGAAAGGTTGTTGGTCACTTTAACAGAGTGCTGGACAATGCATGGGTATATATATAGAAATTCTAAGGCTCCTTGGTGAACGCTAGAGATTTTCTGATTTCGACATGGTTACGAAGGATTTTGAAATAACGATGATATCGGCCGAAAAAACCATAGGAGAATTCCTGTATTAGGAGAATTAGCTTATTTGAATAAAAACTCTTGAGCTTCTTTGATGCTTTTCTGATACAGAACTCCTGTATTTTTATTACCGGGATTTTTGGTATTTTAATCAATTAATTTGAACAATTCTTACTTTATTTAAATCAATTTCGCGGATAAATTCAGAAAAAATAAAGCCCTTTTATTAGAATCAATTTCGACACTTTGCTACCTGTTTGTTTCAATGCTTGATCTAAATATTTTGCTCACTTTCATGCGCCTTTAAAATGGTTGAATCCCGGGATTCAAAATATTGAAAATACGTCTACGAGCGTCAGTAATTAGTCGTCCCCCGTCCCCTCCACCAGCAGACGAACCACATCCCAATTATAGACCCACGTGAGATATATCCAAATCGTCAGAAAAAATTTTTCAATCGACAACAGTGAAAACTGAAATTGGTTCCTCGCCCCTATCGACCTCCCACAACTCTGGGCCTAGGGCTAAAACGGCTCATATGCTTACAGAATTGCCAGCGCTCCAAACATTGAAAGCGTTTGTTTTCGTCTCTCTAATCCTCGGCGCTTCTGGCCTTTATAAACACAAACCCGGGATTTAAAAGAAGCTGTTTTGTTCTTAGATGCTTGGATCAAGGGGGTTTATTATTGTTTTCGTTGGTTTATTAGAAAAGCGTTGGCCAATATAGGATGTCCCTAAAAAGACCATTCTGGCATTTCGTCGGGTTACATCTAATCGCTTCCAAAATTGGACAAGAGGTTTAACTGACCCTATATAATCGCGATTCGTATTTATAGCCAGATAGCTACAGTAGTTTCCGAGTTTTAACCAAGATAACCTTCTTGCAGTTTCATGGGTTTTCGTGAGATATAACACCCTCATTATTAAGTGAAAATGATTGAGCAGCCCCTCTTTAACGTAAGACATTTTTCCGAACTAAAGTTAATTAAATAAGCTTCGATGTAAAAGCTTTTTTAGAAGGCAAAATTACCCACGATCTTAAGAAAGCCGGAATTCGTTGTAACTCGATGCAAAATCCAAAAAGATATCGGAAAAACGGTTTAGATTTGCAGCAAATAAAGTATATTCTTGCGAGAACTGAGATCCTACCGTAGCTCTGGGTCTGTCAGTCAATATTGTTGTTATTTAGGCGCTGATACAGCTCTGGTCCAATTTTGGGATCGATCGGCTGTAAGACGGTGAAATGCCGGATGGGTATTTTTATTGAGTCACCTTGTACTAAAGGAAATATGTTAGCTTTATGGTACCATCCCTTAGCCCAGACACATTTTCCCGATTTCTAGTGGCCACAAATCAGGGTCGAGTGACAAAACACCCCTGGCCACTTTTAGTCTTTGGCCCCAGACCTCGGATGCACACGACGAACAAGTCGAGCAATTTTCTCTGCCCCCGGCTGGGTTATTGTTAATTCAGTTCTCGTTGTCGGGCTTTTTGGCTGTCCTCCTCGCCCTTCTCGGCTTCTCCCCCCTCCGAGTTTGCAGGATTTGCGCCAAATTCGTCCTTTTTCCGGGCGGGTGCCGTTGGGTTCGTTTGGCGATGATGGTGGCCGGACGGCCGAGCCGGCCGAAAACGAACCCGTGCATTTTGCTTTTGCAACTACTGCGGTCTCCCAAGTGTCTTCTCCGGGGTGTCTCGCGAAATTTGATTATTTTTGGACAAACAACCGTGGGGTGGGTATTGGGGGGCTGGGTTTTAAGGGATGTCTCAAATATCACTGCTTGTAGGGAGCCGTTGTTAGGTGATAATCCCTAGTTCCCAGCGATCATCCCCTGACCGGAACTTAAAAA